TGTATAATCAAGAGTCTATTATATATATATAGGAACACGTATTTTGGATAATATATACCTAAGCAGTCTTATATGTTCCATTATACAACTCTTTAAAACGTTGTTAAAATTGGCGACAATATGTAAATGCACGAGACGATTTCTCAGAATGTCTAGTTGACCAGAAATATGAAATATTGAAAGACTAAGAAAATTGTCTATGCCTGTATAGCATGCGGTACAAAGAAATGCGGCAATACTTTGAACAACATATGTCAATTCATATTGTGGACTTCTTGTTGTATCGTAGATGTAATATGTCTGAATTAGGAATGGTCTCTCCGAATCTGCAATAATATTAGACAGGTATCTCACCGAGTAACCAAATAAAGGCAAAACAATCATAATAATCATGCCCGCTCCCATTATGCCATATCCAAATGTGACAATAATGCTTGCAATTTGCGCTTTTGCTATCATCATTGCTTTTTCTTGAGATGTTGTTGTCTTTATCCAATCGTTTGCAATTAAATGTATTATCGGTGCGACAGCTTTAAGAATATAATGACAAGAAATTAATAACAATATAATAAAATAAATGTTAACTACGTATACTGAGAAAAAAAAGTTACTGTTTCAAAAAAATATTAATTAATTCAACTAAATATAGAGGTTTTGGACTGTCAAGCAATATTTGTTAATAAAAAAAGCGTCGCTTATGACACATTTCTCCCTTATGACACGATTCAATATAGATTAAGTAAATACACAAAAGCCTTAAACTGTTTTGCTCTATCATATTTTTTAGATAATCGAGAAATATAGTGGCGGGTTTTTAAAAAATTGCATTTTTGTCTTTTTCAAATGATTTTTTTTTCAATGTTCACAAATTTTCCACTATTCTCTTTGACTGTATAAGAATTATAGAAAATTAAACGCGTAATAAAGAGCAAATTGATTTATAAATTCGAAGTCAATGACCAACAATTTATAAAGAAAACAATTTTATTTCTAGTTAATTAAAAAAAATTTTTGTAATTATGTATGATTAGTCCCCAATTGTAACAATTCTACATATATAAATGTAAAATATAAATAATTATTATTGTACATAAATTAATAACAACACTGCGGTACATGAATCTAACATATTTTGTTTTTCTCTAAAATTCAATATAAATTTAAATAAATCTTTAATTCCATTTTAGAATTACAAAAAATAGAGATTAATTTTATGCTGATATATAAAACGTATATGTATTGTAAACATTTCATATCGTGTATCAATCAAATTGGTACATTATCTACCTTTTTTTTTCCACCAAAAAATTATAAGTCTTAAGAGGCTAGTAATGCATGGTAAAGTACACATCAAATTATCCGTTACAAGTAAAATGTCAAAATGGACTCTTATTAGAGAATGTATAGCGGGAATCACAAAAGCAAGTATTATCAAGAAAGTAAGAAGTACACGTAAATTGCACAAACGTTTTTCCCATGTATTTTGTTCGGACTTAGGCCAAAGTCCAATTAATTCTAGACTAAATCGATTTAACTCCACTGCCCATTCGAAATCTGTTTCAAAAAGAGTTTGATAGATCATATGTTTCACTTTAGATGAAATATATTTTATCTGACCTTTTTTTGATAATGATCCATAATCATATCTATTATGACTCCGATACACAAGACATTTTGATGTTTCCATGTTGAATGTAGCAGATGAACTGACAACTCTGTTTTTTTTAGCATCTATACAACGAGGGTGATATTTCATGTGCATAATAAAAATCCTTAAAAACGAGATGTTTAGTGGCAGAAAAAATTCTACGTGTCCCTTCTTATTGTGCAACTGCGGACAATTATTAGTGCAACAACGTTCAAAGCAGTCATGAATAATAACTGAAGTAATGACTGATTGATAAGTAGTTGGTCATGCTTCAAGTTATGTAGATGTAGCAGTCGTTTTTACGCAATCGTAATCGATTTTTTTGTGGCATCTATAGTCTGATCTATAGTCATCTCGTAACGTCTAATTGTGAGTAATATTATTTTTATTGTAAAAATTAATACAGTATATAGGTATTTTTATTTCATATTTTACGGTATTGGACCTCATTCACATACTCACTTTCCGAGTGTAGACATTTTTCATAGAGGAGTTCCTCATATGTATGATATTCGATCACAGAATTCCACCATAGAATTTAGCTATTATTACAGTTTCTTCATTATCCATTGATATCTACTTTCTCCTTATAGAATATTAACTTTCATTTAACTGATAATTCATACATACGAGTATATGCATAATAAAAGTTTTTAAAAGTGATACATGATTATTGCATAAAAAGGATGAATTAAAAAAATTTTAAATCTTTCCTGTTGTAAAATTTTTGTCAGTGCCTCGTGTGTGCAACATTCGAAGTAGATAAAAACTGGTATAACATTGAGGAGTTGTTAAATGTCTATTGGCAACCTATTTTTACCCTCTTGTTAAGTTCTTACTTATATCAATTTTGAGCATTGCATGTGATCTAAATTATAATTTTTTGTTTTTGTATTATATATAATGAGCAATACTTTGTGTATAATATTGCTTTTTTATTGCAATTAAAGTCTTTATTCGGTTTATCTATATTTGCAGTTTTAAAATAAATATAATATTGTGATATTGTAGAGAATATAATTGAGAATATAGTTAATAATTTTTTTGTCTTTATAACCTATTTAATAAACAAATAATGAGGATTGATTAATTTTTTCTCAATTATTGTGTTTACAGTAGAAGAATATTTACTTGTCGTAATTATTTTAGCTTTATCGATAAAATATAAAATTGTTTGAATATACGGAATATTCAAACTCATTTTATGCAAATGTTTCTTTAATAAAATTTTTCCTCATAGTTATATTTAAATATATTGGGTAGAGAACATAAAATAAATCATCAGAATATGTCGAATCTAAACCCAGTAGACAAAATTATTTTAAACAAAAGTTATATGATTTGAAGGAAGACAAATAAAATTAATTTTCGATAAGACATTTTTTTATATGAACCTTATAGCTATTCTTTAAATAAAATTATAGAATTTATTTCACATAATACGATTCCTTTAATTGTTCTGCAGACATTTTATACTTTCTTTATGTATATTTTGCTATGAAATATAGAATATTTCGTAAACTGTTCATTTTTTGGTAATTCTATCTTAATACTTTTATGTATATCTATATATATCTCTCTATAGAATATATATATATATATATCTAAAGAACGATGAGATGAATTAGTTGATATAAAGAAAATACATTATTTAAAAAAGAATTTATGTAATGCACAATATAAAATTACATATTTATTTTGAAAAACACTTTATATTTTCTTTACATCAATTAATTCATTCTATTATTCTATATAAAATATTAAGATTTATAATTAACAAGAAATGAATATTAAAATTTTCAATTAGATTTACGAGATAGTTCATGTTTATGTCAAAACGTGCTTATTATTAGGTGTTGGAATTAATTCGTAGCGTTTTACAAGAGATGGCACAAGCAGTACACTATTTCGTTGTTACATATAGTTCTGTATACATTGTAAACATCTATCACAGGACGTCATTTGCCGTACATAACCTTTCTTGAAATCATAAATAACAATACTGTATAATTCATTGAATATGTCAAAATTTGTGCCAGATAAAGTGTTTTTGCGGGGAGTTTTGCTTCATTACTTTAATATGAACAAAAGTGCAGCTGAAGCTCATCGTATTTTAGTGGATGTGTATAGTGAACATGCTCTGGCTGAGCAAACGTGTAGGAAGTGGTTTGCACGTTTTAAAGCTGGTGATTTCGACTTGGATGACAAGGAGCGACCTGGTCAGCCGAAAAAATTTGAAGATAACGATTTGCAGGCACTGCTCAATGAAAACTCATGTCAAACACTTAAAGAATTATCTACGTCATTGGAAGTTGACTTCTCAACAATAGGAAAACGTCTTAAAAGTTTGGGCATGATCCAGAAGGAAGGACATTGGGTCCCATATGAATTGAAACCAAGGGATATTGAGAGACGTTTTCTCACGTGCGAACTGCTGCTTCAACGGCAGAAAAGAAAAGGTTTTTTGCATCGGATTGTTACCGGTGACGAAAAGTGGATCCATTATGACAATCCAAAGCGCAGAAAGTCATGGGTTAAGCCCGGCGAACCATCAACATCAGTGGCAAAGCCCAATATCCATGGCTCAAAGCTCCTGCTCTGTATTTGGTGGGATCAGAAGGGTGTCATATACTACGAACTGCTAAAACCGCATGAAACCGTTACTGGAGATCTCTACCGACGGCAACTGATGCGCTTGAGCCGTGCATTGAAGCAAAAACGGTCGGAATACTTCGAAAGACACGATAAAGTCATCTTGCTGCACGACAATGCTCGCCCACATGTTGCAAAACCGGTAAAAACATACCTGGAAACACTTAAATGGGAAGTGCTACCGCACCCGCCGTATTCTCCTGATATTGCACCTAGCGACTACCACTTGTTTCGATCATTAGCTCATAGCTTGTGCGAGCAGAAGTTCACATCTTACGAAGATTGTACAAAATGGTTCGATTCCTGGATTTCATCTAAAGATGAACAGTTCTTCCGACGCGGTATTCATTCACTGCCCGAAAGATGGTCAAAAATAGTAGAAAGTGATGGAAAGTACTTTCATTAATGTATTTTTTAATGCTCATGTGAAATAAATAACATTCTTTCATTAAAAAAACGCTACGAATTAATTCCAACACCTAATAAATGCTTATTAAAGTTGTTCAAAAATTATAAAAATTTCTCAATACTATATCTTTTTTGTGCTTAAAATATTAGATATGTAAGAATATTATTTTATTTATCTCAGTATTATTAAAATTCATACAATTAATCTGTTAGTTATTATTATTATAATTTATTAATTAATTACATAATTAATTCAATGTAATAGATTTTTTACATCATGCATAGTTGAAATTTACCTCTATTTTCGATTAGGTTCTTGTTGTAAGGAGAACAGATATGTAACTGGCTGACGTTTTTATGAGCTGAAAAAGATATTATGTCTAATATATAAGCAAATATACAAACTATTAAAACAAAGCATGTAGTAAATTAGCTACTGTTAAGTCAGGTAAGAAAAAGAAAATAATTATCATTGAAGATAAATATTAAATAATATATATATAGTAATAATATACAATAATAAGTATAATTGAAGATAAATATGAATGTTAAGTTTCATGTGAAGAAAGATTTTATATGTACGTATATAATGTTTATACAATATATTAATTAACCAATTTCTGTTCAAAGATAAAGGCAGAAATTATATATATATACTTATGTAATATTATATAATATTATATAATATTATATAATATTGTAAAATTATAATTTATACATTTAACACCTTACGTTACAAAATGTAGCCATTGTCATAGGAAACACTTTTCCAGCGGTAAGATAATTCGATTTGTTGCTTCTAATTAATAAGACAATTAAGCATTTTGCACTTCTTGGCTCTAAAGTATACCATTTGTTGTTATACACAGCATTGTGAATTTGATTGCACTAAAAAGCATTAAAATTTTTTAATTTTTAGTTAAAGTATTAATTTTATCTTATATTATGTATGATTTTATATTTTAACAATTAATATTGACAATATAATTTCTATAACTGATAGAGATGGGAAATTCTAGGAAAAATAATATTTTTCTAGACATTAGTACTAACATCGTGAAAATACAATAAAAAATAAAAAAAAATATTATTCAACTTACTTGTGCCATTAGAATTTCTCCTACAGCACAATAGACACACATATGACCAAATGTGTTGACAAGAATACATACTTCATATGTCAAGTGAGTAATTGATATATTATTTCCCTTTTCTATTAACTAAATGACACACGTGTAAATAAGACATAATCTTTATACAATTTATTTTTGGAAGAAAATTGTATTGTGAATATTAAATATGAAAGTAAATTGCATTAGATGAATAATAACATTAAATAAATATGAAACGTTAAAATATAAATATGATAAATTCTTTTTTTTTCTAATGTATTAACACAAATTAAAAAGCGCGATAAATATGTGAAATATTTTTAAACACTTACGTTTATTATCAGGAAACCATAACAAGCAAAAAGTATACCGAAATATAAAAATAATACTAAGAGAATTATATTATATGTATCATCTATAACAGCGATGGCTCTATAAAATGATATTGTATTTATCTTCGATTAAAGTTGGAAGAATATATGAGAATTAATGAATACTAGTTCTAGAAATATTTTCATATATGGGTAAGAAATATACAGTGCTCTTTTATAATTTGATTAATACATAATTAATTAACTCTTAGTACCCACAAAGGTTTAGCGTAACCTCTCCCCTCCCGATTTTCATTGTTCAGACGTTTTTTTTCGCTCCCTTTTCACTTATTGCAAAATATCTTTTGTGATACGACATTTTAGATTTTCTAACTCAAAAATTCTTTTTTTTGTTTTCAAATATAGATTAAAAAAAATTAATACTTAAAATCGATGCACTATAATCTGAGATACAAGCAAAAGAAAACGCTGGGTTACAAATACCCGAATATGAGTAGATAGGAACTTTTTTGAGATGTGGGTACTGAGGGTTAATACATAATAATTTGATAAAATAATATGCAGAAATACATATGTATAAAATATTTATCGAATACCTAAGTAGTCGGATGTGATCTATTACATTCTTTTTTAAAATGTCATGGAAATTGATAAAATTATCTAAGTGCGTGATACGATATCTAAGAATTTCCAATTGGCCGCAAATATGAAACACCAATAGTCCGAGAAAATTATCAATACCAGTATAAGACAAGATAGCAAAGAAAATAGCAATACTCTGAATAAAGAATGTCAATTCGTATTGCGGTCTCTTTGATACGTCATAAGGATAATATGTTTGCAATGGCAACAGATTGCCTGGATCAGTGACATTTGTCAAATATCTGATTGAGATTCCACAAATAGGTAAAACGACAACGAAAGAAAATGCTATTATCATTGCACTATATGCGCACATAATAATTATACGCGCGGTTTGCGCTCTTTTGATCATCATGCTTCGCTCATATGCATTTTTCAATCTTTGCCAATCCTCCGCGATCATGTTTAAAATCCATAAAATAGCTTTAAAAGTCAAAATTGTTTAAATTTGCAAAAATTTGTTACTTATGAATAAAAAATTATTTATATAACATTCTCGAATAATATTTACATCGCAGCGTGTAAAATAAGAATTCTTTTTTTTAACTTTTATAAAATAATTTTTGTTCTAAAATCTATTATATGTTTCATTGAAATAGGAGATTACACAATAGTAATTTATAATACAAGACAATTTATTAGTATTTTGATTAAGACAAATTATATAAAATAAATTATTTACCTTTTTTCTTCCACCAAAGTATTATAATTCTGACAGCACAAGTAATAGCCGGTAGAGTAAATTGCAAGTTATCAATCAGAAGCATAATATTCGAATGAATTCTTATCAATGAATGTATTGAAGGAATCAGAACACCGATTATTATTATTAGCACAATAATTAAAGGGCGGATACTATATGCTAACGTCTCTTGAATGTTGTATTCAGTTTTAGGCCAAAGCCCAATTAATTTTAAACTGAAACGATTTATCTTGACCGCCCATTCGAAATCTATCTGTTTCAAGAAGTATTATAATAAAAAAATATTATGAAAAATGTAAATAATAAACACTATAATAACAATAAACATTAATAGAAGTATCAATTAATTATTAGATTGTATTTGCTCTATCAACTGATAATTTGTGGAAATTTATAATATAAATATAGAATAGAGAACAGTTTTTAATGTACTTTGTAAATTATTATGAATTCTAATAACTAATTATTATCTAATAATAAATTATAACCATGAAATAAAAATTTTACGTTGTATTGCATCTAATTTAGAATTAAAATTTACTATTAAAATAAAAATAAAAATTTATTGTTGTTTATATTTAAATAAGTGATATTGAAATATTAAAAATAAAAAATATAGATAATATAAAATGTAGATATAACATTGAAAAAACATTCACATTTTAACATGGAACATTGCAACATCTTAGCAATTCAACATTTTGCATGGAAGTTACATTGAGTGTCGTAGAAGAATACAAGATAAAAATAAGAATATGTTCGAATTATATTAACGAACGCATAATCATATATATTCATATTAATCTAAAATATTCTTTCTTTATGAAATAATCTTGATCAATTGTGATTACGATAACTGTAATAAAGCACCTCGACATCCCAAGAAGTTTGAAGTATCCATACTGAGTGTTAAGTAGAGACTGACGGTTGCTTTTTCTTCGTGCAACAAAGTCATTTTGTATGCAATACCCACTGCGTGTGGGAAATATTCTCTAAAAGAGAGTCGATCACTTTGAAAGTGAATCATTAAAAATGTACAACGACCATAACATGTCTACTCACTTGAGTTTTACATTCTATTAAAAAACTTGAATAACAGTTTATAGATGCTTTTTACTTTTTTTGTCATCGATGTCAGTCTTAGTTTATGCTATAATGTCAAACTGTAATCAGTTATATCTACTACACTTGATAATAATGTATTGTAGTGTAAGTAACATATTATAATGTAGTGTATTACTAGTGTGCCTACACTTAATTAAATTAAATTGATAAAGAAAATTATTTTACTGCATCCTTTTCTTGTTATTAATAATAACTTATAAAACGTTCTAGAAACTTATTTAAAAAGTTAGAAATCAATAACAGTATAACATTTTTTTTGTTATATAAATACAACGAATATGTTTAAATTAATTTGTTTAAAATGTTATTTTTTGAAGGAAAAATTATTACTTTTCCATGTTAAACAGAAAGGATATACATATAACTGGTTAATATTTTTAGTAATTAAAATATTATATCTATAACATATTAAAAATCTTAGATTTTTGAAAATAAACTAGGAATTTTTTGATATAAAACTATAGTTTTAATACTAACAATTTTTATATAAAAAAATTATTTTATTTTATTAAAGGAGAATTTCAATGAGTGCCGCCACTAGTAGTATAGTCCATATGGAATAAAATTGTTCAAAATATAAGAAGTCATCATAAAAACTAAACGATTGACATACTTTAATTTGACATACTTTTTTATTAAATGAATTGCTTTTAAAATAGGTTAAACTATTAGGTGTTGGAATTAATTCGTAGCGTTTTTTAATGAAAGAATGTTATTTATTTCACATGAGCATTAAAAAATACATTAATGAAAGTACTTCCCATCTCTTGTAAAACGCTACGAATTAATTCCAACACCTAATATTATATAAACTATTATATAGTTCGAACATTTCAAACTGATTAATCTATATTATATAATATTGCATAAAATCAGTGCTAAAATAAAATTAATGCTTTAATTGGATGTTTTAACTTTAAAATTCATGGAACTATTATATCTGCAACGATATTTTTAAATTTAATTTAAATTTTTAATTTTTCTGTTACTGCTTAATATAATACATGTCATGTTTCACACAAATAAAGCAATAAGATTTATTTGTTTTCAAGCTTTATAAGCTATAATATTCTATTAAAAATTGCACATCGAAAAAATTTTACATTCTTCTTATTTTTTTTTTCAACTTTTTATTGTGTGCAAGACGGATATATAACCAACGGATGTTTTCACAAACTGAAAAATATATTTTTTAATATAAAAAAAAATATATTTTTTAATGGTTATATAGTTAACAATATAAACTTTGATTTACCGTAATTATACATATTGTATTATTATAATTGTACATAAATAGATCAAAATAAAAAAATCGAACTTTATATATTAGGTGTTGGAATTAATTCGTAGAAGTGATAGTAAGTTCTTTCATTAATTTATTGTTTAAGTCTCATGTGAAATAAATAACATTCTTTCATTAAAAAACGCTACGAATTAATTCCAACACCTAATATATATACATATTAAAATGTAATACAGATGCTATAATAATTTTTAACAAAATTTTAGTGATATCAATATTTTAATATTCAAGACAAAACTTACACTGCAAAATGTAGTCATTGTAACAGGAGACACTTTTCCAGCGGTCAGATAGACCGATTTAGAACCTCTTGTCATTAAGAGCAACAAATCTTCTATAGTTTCTGAATTTAGAGTGTACCATTTGTTGTTATATGCTGCATAATATATTTTATTGCACTTAAAAATATCAGAAGCTTTTAGATATCAACTGTTATGTACATTGTATGTATTAAAATAAAAATTAGCCATTATCATATGACACTAACAATAAAAAATATGTTTTGTTTTATGAAAACTTTTGTAACAACAAAATTTTAGAATTTTTATAACAACAAAAATTTGATTGAAATATACTGAAAAAAACTTTTGTTAAAATGTATTGAATAAATCTGTAATTTTATATAAACTAAATTATTTAGTTGATATAAACAAATATTTTTGTTATTTACGAAACAGAAAAATAATGTTGCAAAAGCTGGCCTCTCTCCCCCTCGCACTTAATTAAATCTTAATGAATAAATTATATAATAATGGGTTATTTATGCGCTTTCAAAATCCGCAAAAATAATTTTTGTGCTTATTTTAGTTAATTAAAAAAATTTTTTTGTGAGGGGGGCTGAGTAGACTGTCTTCTATGTTAATAACAACTGATTTGAAAAATGATCAGAATTTTACACAGAATTTTTGTACTATTTATACGCTTTCATATTCACATAGTTTCAATTTTTGCGCTGCATTTGTTAAGGCACTTTCTTCTTGGAGCAATCATATTCGTTCCTAAGTCGTTTAAAATTGCAAAATTACGTCGCGTAAAAATAGAAATTGCTTAGTAGCACATTGAAAATATATTTTGCATAGTTAGATAGTGTAATTTTGCAATTTTAAACGACTTAGGGATGAATATGACTCCAAGAGGGAAGTGCCTTAAGGGATGCAGCACAAAAATTGAAACTATGTGAATATGAAAGCGCATAAATAGCTCATAAATCTTGTGTATTTGATTTTCCAAATTGGTTGTTATTAACACAGGGCTGATTAACAGCTTACTCAGTCTCCTACAAAAATTTCTTTTTTTGCGGATTTTGAAAGCATATATAAATAACGCATTATTATATAATTTATTTATTAAGATTTAGTTAAGTGGGGAGGGGGGGCAGACAGACATTAATTTTTTTGTTATATAAATAAAATATTTAGTTGTTAAAAATTGCACCAAATAAACAGTTTTTGTGTTGAAGGCACAACAAATTTTTTTTCTATATATATATACATATACATATATATATATATATATATATAATGTAGAGTTAATTGAAGTAACATTCAATTTACAACTTTATAATAAAAAAATATATAACAATTTCTTTGCAAAAATGTAACACAAGTTGTAATTTTTCGTATTCTATATTATGTGCGAATTGTTTAATATACTTCAACTTTCTATTAGAACAAATTGAAATTTGAAATAAGCAACTTTTTATTAGTTCTATGTTTCATATTGTCAAAATAATTAATTTAAAAATACGCAATTATCTTTCCTTCTGCACAATATTATATTTTATTATTTGTGTCATTTTTTCTTGTGAAGAGATGCTATATGTATGTATAACTAACCTGAGCAATTAAAATCTCACCAAGAGCGCAATATAGGCACATGTGTGCAAATAAATTTATAACGACGGAGAAAAAATATATTAAATGAGTGATCGACATATCATTTCCTTCATCAAATAGCTAATTAATTTATAAAATAAGAAAAAAATTAATTTTCTTAATAACATTAATTTAGAATTTTAAAATAGCATTACATAGATATAGTAACTTTTTATTAAAATTGAATATCTGTTAATTTAATATTAATATATTTTTTACTAAGTATTATTAATTTAAGCAAATTTTTTTTAATAAGTTCTTATCTAAACATTTAAATACTTACACTGATCATCCGAAATCCAAAGAATGCGAAGAGAATTACATGATATATAAATAAGGAGAGAAGTATTATATTATATGTATCTTCAATAACATCAATAGTTCTATTAAAAGATATTTAATGTATTAATATATTTTATGACACGTTTTACATGAATTCTGCTTCTATATACCCATATATTTTCTTATAAGTAACATACCTAAGCAAACGGTTATGATTTGCTATGCAACTTTTTAACATTTTATGATAATTCATGTACTTATTTAAATGTGTTAAACGATTTTTTAGAATGTCTAATTGGCCGCATACGTGAAAAATTAAGAGACTTAGAAAATTGTCTATTCCAGAATAGGCTATCATGGCAATTCCTGCGTATATGACTTGACTAATAAATGTCAGTTCGTAATATGGTCTTCTTGTTATATCATAAATGTAACGAGTTTGTACTGGCAATAGTTTTCCTGGATCAGTAATATTAGAAGTTAGTCTTATTGACATTCCAAAAATTGGCAATACTGTGATGAAGAACCACGCTAATGCCATTATACAATAAGAACAAATAGAAATTATACGAGCATTCTGTGCTCTTTGGATCATCATGCTTCTCTCTTGATCACTTTTTAACGTTATCCAATCCTTCACGATCATATTCATAATTGGTATATTTGCTTAAAAATAAACATTTTTTTATACACAATAATTTTACAGCGCTGCTGAATTAAAATATATTAAGCTTAAATAGATTAAGCGTAAAAGATTTAAAAAAGGAAAACATGAAAATAATATCACTATTTTCATATTTTCTCAAGAAAAATAATATTACAATTTTTTAAATTAATAAAATTGATAATTTTGGAATGTACTAATCTTATTATACATCATACAAAATCTGTTATTTATAAAAAGTAAATATTTTATCTCTATATGAATATGTGTGAATATTTATATGCAAACATATAGGTTTGAAATAATGTAATATTTTATAATCTTCTACAATATTTTCATAAATAATTAGCAAAATCAATTTTGTTATAAAAAGATCTTATTTAAAGAAAAGGTACTCATTTAATTCTAATAAATAATTAATTCTCATAAATATACATAATTTTTGAGATGTAAACAACGTTTAAAATATGTAATTCGTAAATTTTATTATTTAACAACTCTAATGAAACAAGTCTGTACATAAAAATATATAGTATATGTATATTTCCAAATATAAATCAATTTTATTAATGTAAATAAATTGAGTGATCTATAAATATGTATTTAAAGCTATATTTAATGTTAATCTGATTTAATTTAGATCTCATTTAATTTAGATATAAGTTATTGTATTTTTAAAGCTTATAAAATGCGACCAAAATGATGATTACCTTCTTTTTTCCACCAAAAAATGATGATTCTAATCAAAGAGCTTATGAGTGGTAATGTAAGTTGTAAATTATCTAACATTAATGAACTATCTCCAAAAATTTTTATTAGAGAATGTATAGAAGGAATAAGAATGCAGATCGTTAATCCTAGAAGCACCACCAGCACTCGAAAATTGCATATTAATTTCTGCCAAGGATTTTGTGCAGTCCTAGGCCAAAGTCCAATCAAATTTAAAGTGAAACGGTTTAATTTTACCGCCCATTCGAAATCTACCTATAGAAACTTTGATAAGTACAGACTTCATAAAATTGTAATATACAATTCCAAATACACAAATGTATTAATAATTAAATCAAACGCACTGTGTGTAATAGTTTAAAATAAGATATTTTTGTACTAATCAAGTAAATCTAAAGATTCAGGAAATAATAAATAACTGATAATATAATAATAAATAATAGTAATAACAACTAATTCATTGATACAGACTTTTTGTTAACAATAAAAACATAAAACATAGATTGTAAATATATTGTAATACAATTGTTTGCACACATTCTTATTAAGGTATTATCTGAAGACTTTTTTCATATATAATTAGAATAATTGAAATTTATATATAAGCACCTTGGTATCCATTATATTTCGAACTTTCCATGTCTAGTGTTATCTAAAGACTGATGTCTGTTCCTTTTTCGTGAATCGACATTACCTCCTATGCAAGGAAAAAGCGTTTCTTGCGCATGCTTACAATATTGCTTCTCGAAAGTATCGAACGATCAACTTGCAACAAAGTATTTTAAATATTCTGTTTTTACTCTTATTTCAAATTTCCATCAAGTTATACATCCAGCTATTGCCGATTATAAGATGCGCAGGAAAAAATTGCAGAATATCAGATGATGATATAGTGATAGAAAAAAACATGTATAAGTATACGTGTATCGATTAATATTTTCATACTTCTATAATCCTCTGTTGTGCATGACTGCAGCTTTTAGTACACTATAGCACAGAATTTATCGTGCATCGCTTTTATGGTTTTTTAATTTTTTAAATAAATTTATTAAAATTTTATTGTTTGTTTTTATATCGAGTTTTTCAAAATAAATGCAAAATATAAAAGTGCTATTGTTAGATCATTCATCTTTAAATCTATATAATATTTATGATTATTATTATTATGGATAAAATAAAAATGTTTAGTACACACTGAAAGAAAAGATTGGTTGAATATGATGTAATTAGATGCAGTAGCTAATTAAAAATATTATGCTATATTTTACCATCTAATTTGCTGCAGCAGCCATAAAATTGACCAGCAATCTAATTTATACGTATCAGATTGTTGTCTATTATTGATTTCCGTAATACCATAATTTTTACTGAACAGCTCTACTTTTACATTCTAGCTTTATGTGTGCGTAATAAATTTACATATGATATTTAAATATAAGCAATAAGGAAATAAAATTATTTTTACAAATTAATATTAATATCTGAAATATAAAAATTAATTACAATTGCTACACTTAAAGAAAAGATTGCTGCAGCAAATTAGATGGTTAAATATGACATAGCATTTTTAATTGGCTACAGCAACCAATTTTTGGTTGCGTTAGTCAATTGAAATCTTATACTGACATTGCGAATAGGCTAACACAATCAACAATTGGCTGCAGCAACCAATCTTTTCTTTTAGTGTAGATAATAGATATAATTTTAAGTTTGTAACAGTAGCTATGAGCTTGAATGCGACAGAATATATATTAGTGGTTATCTTTGATTGTTTGTAACAAATCATTACATTATGAACATTTATGTATAATGTATTGGGATTTTCAACTGGAATTGAAAATGTGCTATTAAAGAGTACACATATATAATTTTGTAACTTATATAATATTATAAAAATAAAGAGATTAATATATAAAAATCACAAAATTAATTTAGTTGGAAGTAATCGCAATAAAAAATATATTTTTTTTAACAGAAATTCAATATATAAATATTAACATTTGTAATAAAACTTTGGAAAATCCATTTTAGAAAAATCAATAGAACAAAAAATTGAGTCGTTGATGTCCAAAGATGTTCGTTATATTGTCAAAATGAATTTATCTATAACTTATGTTAATTGATGCTCGAAAATTTAAATTTTTTTGAGCACTCCCTTACAAATAATTCTGCTGACGTTCATGTTTAATGATACGTTGTATAAAATAAATGATTAAGTTAAAAAGTAATTTTCACGAGAAAGCATTCCTTTAAATTATGATTCTTTTAAAATTAAATTAAATTTTACATCTGTATTATTATTTAAGAGAATAGTGGCGTAGTCTATTTAATTGCATTAAGACATATTTATTTATAAATCATACGTCATTACCGATGTAATTAAATTGATTTTCTATCAAAAATTGTATGAAAAAAATTTTACATGCTTTCATTTTTATTATTACCTTCTTGTTGTATGCAAAACGGATATATACCCAACAGATGTTTTTACTAACTAAAAAACAAATTTTTAATGGTAATATGATAATAATTTAAATTGAATAGTTAAATAATTATAAAGTTTGATTAAGATAAGATTGTACACATATCTAAAATAAATAATTCAAATTTTATGTAGGTACTATAATTACTTTAATTACATTTTCATAATCTTGAATAATATTATATTTTAATATGATATTTATACTCAAACATTAAAATATCTTACACTGCAAAATGTGGCCATTGTAACAGGAGACACTTTTCCAACAGTGAGACAAATTTGTTTAGAACCTCTTGTCATTAAGAGCAATAAATCTTCTGCAACTTTTGGATCCATAATATACCATTTATTACTATATGCCGCATAATATATTTTATTGCACTTAAAAATATTAAAAATATTAAACTTTTAGATATCAATTATTATATACATTGCTTCATATATAAATAAAAATTAAACATATATTATATACATAGTTTACAGTTAACATGCAAAATTATACATCACTTTATAATTTTGAAATAGAATAAAATATTTATGTAACTACCTGAGCCACTAAAATTTCGCCAAGGACGCAATATAGGCACATGTGCGTAAATATATTGATAACAGTGGATATGAAATAGATTGAGTGAGTGATCGATATATTATTTCCTTCATCAAAAAGCTAATTAAGTTATGAAAAGCATAAACAAAAAAACATAATTATTTCTGTTACTATCAGTATTAACTTTCAATTTTGTAATAATATAAGAGGAGCACAAAAGAGGAGCACAAAACGGCTTTATTAACCTTTCTCCTTTATAAATGTAATAACTTATTAATTATAATTATTAAAGTGTACACCATTATTCAGTAGGACAATTTAGACATAAACATTTTTTTATTTAACTTTTAGATACAATACTTACGCTAATTACTCGAAATCCATAGAAAGCGAAGAGTATCGCGAAATATATAAATAAAGAGAGAAGTATTCCATTATAAGTATCTTCAATAATATCAATAGCTCTATAAAAGATATTTTATGTAGCAAATATATTTAATCATATATTTTGTGTAGATTATCTTATTATTATAGATTATCTTATTTATGTATACGTTTTCTTACAAATAACGAACCTAAGCAAACGGATATGTTTTGTTAAGCAGAATTTTAATATTTTGTGATAATTTATATATTTATCCAAATATTGGATACGATTCTCAAGAATATCTAATTGGCCGCATATATGAAAAACGACAAGACTTAGAAAATTGTCTACTGCACTATAGATCATCATAGCGATAGCTACATAGATGACTTGACCCATTAATGTTAATTCATATTGAGGCCTTTTTGTTATATCGTAAATGTAATGGGTTTGTAAAGGCATTGGTATTCTTCCTGGGTCAGTAATATTAGGTGTTAGTCTTACTGACATTCCAAAAATAGGTAACACTGCGACGAAGAAACACGCTAATGCCATTATACAATAGGAACAGATAATAATTATACGTGCATTCTGTGCTCTTCGGATCATCATGTTCCTCTCTTGATTACTTTTTAACATTATCCAGTCCTTTGCAATCATATTCATAATTGGTATAATAGCTTAAAAGTAAATAATTTTTTATGCATATTAATTTTACAGGGTTGCTGAATTAAAATGTTTAAATTTAATCTTAACTTGTAAAGATTCAAAAAAGAACACATCAAAATACTATCACTACTTTCGTATTCTCTGAAGAAAAACATGATTACAATGTTACAAATATTATTACAAATCTATAAAAATGTTAGTTCATAACGTACCAATCTTGTTAATATAGATATCATATAATGTATATAAATATAAATTTTTTATATAAAGTATTTTATCTCTAAATGAATACACAGAGTATTTGGTAAATAACGACAAATCTCTCGCATAGTGATAGAGCGGACTAAACTGAATCGAAAAATTCTCTATCATTTTGCAATTTTTTCAATAATTAACAAGATATTAATTATTAAAAATCATCAAATATTGATCTTCAATAATTTTTTACTCGAGTACTATCATTTACAGAAAACCAGCAAGAGACAAAAATTTTTTTTTTTTTTCACAGAATTCTAAGAATTTCTTTGGAATTTTTTATCAACTTTTTAATACTGCATTTTCTTATATTGGCAATTATTTTTATCAACTAATTTCGGTAAAGTAAAAATGCGGTCCTAAAAAATTCTGAACAAATTCTCAGAGCTCTATGAGACAAAATAAACAATTTTTGTCACTTGCCGTTTTTCTGTAAAGTTGATAGTACTTGAATAGAAAATTATTGAAAACTAATATTCGGCGATATTTAGTAATTAATATCTTGTTAATTATTGTAAAAATTGTAAAATGGTAGAAGACTTCTTGACTCAATTTAATTCGCTATACTCTATGCAAGAGTTTTCTCATCGCTTATCAAACACTCTGTACATATGTGAGTATTTATATACAGATTTAATATGATGTAATTTTTTATAATCTTTTGTAATATGTTCTATATAAAGTAATTAGCAAAATTGATTCTCTCATAAAAAGATTTTATTAAAAAAAGATGATACATATTTAATTCTAATAAATCAGATGTACATATATATGATTTTCAAGAGATGCAAAAAATTTAAAATGTACGGATTTCAGGAATTTTATTATTTAACAACCTATTGAAAAATAGTCTATATGTACATAAAAATATATATTAATATATGAATTAATTTTATCGTAATTGTAAGTGAATTGATCTATATGTATTTGAAATCATCAATTTGAATTTGAATATTTAATTCATATGTAAGTTACATACTTTTAAAGCTTGTAACAATTATATAAATGAACAAAATGATGTATACCTTCTTTTTTCCACCAAAAAATCATGATTCTAATCAAGCAACTTATGACTGGTAAAGTAAATTGTAAATTATCTAACATTAGTAAACCGTCTCCGAAAATTTTTATTAGGGAATGTATACAGGGAATAACAAGGCCAAGTAATCCCAAAAAAGTTATCAGCACTCGAAAATTGCATATTAATTTCTGCTGAGAATTTTGTGCAGTCTTCGGCCAAAGTCCAATCAAATTTAAAGTAAAACGATTTAATTTCACCGCCCACTCGAAATCTACCTGCAAAAATCTAAATAAGTACATTGTTTATAATTATAGGATTTATAATATACAATTCCAACCGTCATAAATGTATCCATGATTGAACTAAACGCACTGCATGGAATAGTTTAAAATAAGATATTTTTGAACATTTTGTATTAATCATGCAAGAGTCTAAAGATTATTCACGAATAAATAACAAAAATAAATGATTTTGTTTGTTGCAGTTAGATATAATTAACTAAATATAGATTGCACATTCCAATAAAGTCGTCACTATTAATTTAGGAAAAGGAAGATAACTTAGTGCGTACTGCTTTCTCTCTCTTTGAAATCTTTTCTATATATCACTTTCTCTATTCTCAGAAAAATACATTATGTCCATCCTCCAAGTATTCATTATGCTCCCCACACAAAGCAAATTATAAAAAGATATAATTATTCAATATCGCGTTCTGTTTTTACGTAGCACGAATGCTCTAAGATTAAAAATAGAGAATTGCAGTCTATATCTATTACGTCTATTCCTATAAGATATAAAAATCTTAAAATGTTATATGAATATTATTATAAAATGAATGAATAATAGACACATAATATTCTAAAAATGTACATATAGGATGTAACTAAAACTATTACAATATAAACTTTGATACACAAAATTCATAAGAAACACAAATTTACTGAGATAATCCCGATTTTTTCGTTAATAATGAAAATATAAGACGTAAAATTATAAATGATGCCACCATTTGCATATATTTCTAATAACGTATTTTCTTAAGGATTTTTTCGCATACAATTAAAATAATTTGAAATTATAAACACCTTGGTATCCATTATATTTCGAACTTTCCATGTCCAGTGTTATCTAAAGACTGACGTCTATTCCTTTTTCGTGAATCGACGTTACCTTCTGTACAAGCAAAAAACGTTTCTTGCGCATGTTTAAAATATTACTTCTTGAAAGTATCGAACGATCAACTTGCAACAAAGTATTTTAAATATTCTGCTTCTTCTCTTATTTCAAATTTCCATCAAGTTTCTATTAGTATCTATTATTGCGGGAAAGAATTGCAAATAAAAAATTGTACAATGTTAGATGGTGATATAGTAATGAAAAAAAAAACAAGTACATGTATCTACCATATTTCCATACTTTCATAAGTCGTCTATAACTATTAAAGTTATAGCTTATAAAGTGTTAGCATAGAACTTACCGTGTATTGCTTTTATATGTTTCCAATTTTTTAAATAAATTGGTTAAAATTTTATTGTTTTTATTCGAGTTCTTTATTTATCAAGATAAATACAAAACGTAAAAGTATTGTTAGATCAGATTATTTATCTTTAATTCTATTCATTATTTATGATTCTAATCATAATATTTATGATTATTATTATTATTGGTAAAAAAATGTTAACATAACAATTGCTTGTCTCGAGAATTTGAGATCGTTTTTGAATAATAAACCGATAATAAAATTTATCAACAATTTAATTTATACATATTGATTTGCTATCTATTTTTAACTTTTGTAATTTTTTTTTAATATCATAATTTTTTTTTAATATCATAACAGCTATTTTTACAATCTAGTTTTTATATGTAACAAATAAATTTTAATATAATATTTAAATGTAAGAAGCAAGGGAAAAAATAAAACTAATTTCATAAATTAATACTAATATTAGCTGAAATTAATTACAAGTGATAGATAATTATAAATTTGTAAGATTAGTTATGAGCCTGAGATGACAAAATATATTATATATCATTGTCCATCTTTGATTGTAACAAATTTTTATATTATAAACATTTATATATTTTGTAATTCAATTGGCGTTAAAAATATGCTGTTTATGTGTTAGATTGTTGTATAACATGATATATAGACTTCATAAAAATAAAAGATTATTTATATATAATGTAAGAAAACACATGATTTCATTTAATTGAAAATGACCGTAATATTTTAGACGCTCCTATGGACTTCTAAAAACAAAAATTGAACATAAAAAATTGTTATAGAAATTAAACGATCATTTGAAATATTTTTATTAAATAAATAATTTTTAAAATATATTATCATTATTTAAAACTGCTTATCTGTATTTAATGATATTTTATAAAATAAATGATTTAATTTAAAAAGCAAATTTGGTTTATATAAAATTCACGAAAAATCATTATTATACAATAGAAATAACCAAAATATATTATTGAAATGTCTTAAAAATATCACATTTCTTAAATATGGTTTTAGGATATCCATGCGAAATATTTCAGATACATCTGTTATGTACCTTTAATTATGTACCTTTAATTTATGTACCTTTAATTTATGATTTTCTTAAATTTAATTTTATATCTGTGTTATTACTTAAGAGAAATTTATTTCTTAGCTTATTCTTTTTAATTAATGCATTAAAATATATTTATTTGTAAATGATATAATATTGATATATTTAAACTAGTGTTTTATAAAAAATTGGATGTTCGAAAAAATTTCTCATGTGTATCATTTTTTCTATTACCTTCTTGTTGTATGCAAAACGGATATATACCCGACAGATGTTTTTACTAACTAAAAAACAAATTTTTGGTAGTAATATGTTTAATAATATCAATGTAAGTACGTGAGTAAATAAAATAATTAGTAATTAAAATATTTAATACATGCATTAAATGTAAAATTTAATTCTTTATTAAAAAATTTTTATAAATGTTTAGTAATACCAAACAATATTTTAGTATAATATTTCTAATTAAACATTAAAGTGTCTTACACTGCAAAATGTGGTCATCGTAACAGGAAATATTTTTCCAACGGTGAGATATATTGGTTTCGATCCTCTTGTCATTAAGATTAACAAATTGTTTGTGGTTTTTGGATCCATAGTGTACCATTTATTATTATATGCCGCGTAATATATATTATTGCACTTGAAAATATCAAAAATATTTTTAAACAAGCTACTGTTTAAATAGTTTCACAACTAAATAGAGAAAATATATTGCAAAACATTGTATATTGTATGATAGTTTGCAAATTTAATTACGCAATATTCAATTTATATGATTTCTGTAATGAAAATATATATGTAACTAACCTGAGCCATTAGAATTTCTCCGAGAATGCAATATAGACACATATGTCCAAATAAATTTAAAATGGTTAATGTAAAAAATATGAAACGAATAACTGGTAAATGATTTCCTTCGTTGAATACCTTCATTTATTTAATTTATAAGTTTTACACATACACACACACACACATACACACTTACACATACACACAAAGATATAGTATCTCATAATTAAAATTATTTCAGATGTCCATAATAAAATATGTTATAAGTAAAAATTTAGATATTATACATATCAGTAGTTTTAATGTTTATATGAATTCTAATTTTTAAGCGTTTTAATACTTACGCTAATTACCCGAAATGCGTAGAAAGCGAATAGTATCGCAAAATATATAAACAAGGAGAGGAGTATATTATTATACATATCTTCAATAGCATCAATAGCTCTGCAAAGCATATGAATATATTCGATTATATGATTCATAACAACCGTCCGATTTTGAAATATCACATTTCTTATTTAATTCTAAAACAATTTTTCCTTTACTAAAGTTTTATCTATATTAAAGCTTAGTTTTTAAATTATAAGAAAAAATAGTTAGCAAATTACGTAAATTATAATTTAAAAACTAAGTTTTAGATAAAATTTTGGTAAAGGAAAAAGTTTTAAAAGTAAATCAAGGAATACGGCATTTCAAGGATAAATGATTGTTCTAAATTACTTTGTATATTTCGGATAGATTATATGTGCGTGTATTTTCTTAACAAATCTAATAACAAACCTAAGTAAACGAAGATGTTTATCTATACAGCACTTTAGCACTTTTTGATAATTTGTGTATTTATCCAAACATGTCAAACGGCTCTTGATAATGTCTAACTGACCAGATATATGAAAAATTAGAAGACTGAGAAAATTGTCAATTCCAGTATAGATCATCAAGGCAATAACTATGTAGATGACTTGACTAAGAAATGTCAGTTCATATTGCGGTCGTTTTGTTATATCGTAAACATAGTAGCTTTGCACAAGCATTGGTTTTCCTGGATCAGTAATGTTGGGAGTCAATCTCATTGACATTCCGAAAGTAGGTGGTATAACAAGAAAGAAGCACTGTATTCCCATTAGGCAATAGGCACAAATAATAATTATGCGTGCACTTTGTGCTCTTTGGATCATGAAACATTTTTCTTGATCACTTTTTGATTTTATCCAATCTTTCGTGACCATATTTATAATGGGTACAATAGCTTTAAAAGGTAAAGAATTTTATTTATATTTTTTAGCGTTGTTAAGTATATTAATTTTAAATTATTAAATGTATTAATTTTAATTCTAAACAGTAAAACGTACAGAAAAAAGAAATTTATACAATGTTAATATTTTCTTTGTAAAAAACGATGTTATATTTTGATGTCATAAATAAAACGTATTTCTAATGTGAACCATTAGAAAGATTTCTTGAGGAGATCGAGAGTCACATTGTTGAAATTCTTGATAATTTTTTTGATAAATTCATTAAATATATGAAAGTGAATTTCGAATGATATTTATATGGCATGTAAAAAATTAACAAAAAAATGTTTTTTATTAGCAAATACTTTACATAAGTATATAATGCATATGTTCCATTTTTTATAGTCGTTTTGCAGTGATATATCGGCTCTTGGTGATCCGAATAGCGAATTTTATTTATAAATTTTTAGGAGATCTGAAAATTTAGAAATAAAATTCGCTTAAAATTTAAAACATTTTATCGAGATATTCATTTCTTAGTACAAAGAAACTTAAAAATATTGAGTTTATATTTATATAATTGTATATTTATATAAGTATTTGTCAATAAAGAATGTATTTTTTTACTCTTTATATGGTGTATAAACGTCGCTTAAATTGTATATATGTAGTAAAACGATTAAAATGCTTACATTCTTTTTTCCACCAAAAAATCATGATTCTAATTACACAGCTTATAACTGGTAAAGTAAATTGTAAATTGTCTAACATTAGCAAAACGTCACCAAAAATTCTTATCAGGGAATGTATAGAAGGAATAACAAGGCAGACTGTTAGTCCCAGAAAAATCACCAGTACTCGAAAATTGCACATTAATTTTTGCCAAGAATTTTGTACGTTTTTGGGCCAAAGTCCAAGCAAATCTAAAGTGAAACGGTTTAGTTTCACCGCCCATTCGAAATCTACCTGCAGAAAATTTGATTAGTCTCACGTTTTTTTTTAAAGTTTACACAATTTAGAACAAATATATAAATATATAGTTATATAAAATCAAATATACAATAAATTATTAAGGGAGTATGTGAAGCAGTTTAAAGTAAAATATTTTTTAACACATTATTTTTGATTACATATATATAAATTTAAAGATTATTCAAGAAATAATAAATAATTTATTATAAAAATCAAGTTGTTATAGATAGCTAACATTATCAATAGTTTAATATATGAATACAAAAACTGTAAAATTGATAATCCAGAATTTTTATTCATGATGAGAGAATAAGATGTGGATTATTATTATGAATAATACCACTGTTTGCACACATTGCACATATTAAAATACTTCTTTAAAGGTCTTTTTACATACAATTACAATAATCGAAACCATAAGCACCTTGGTATCCGTCATATTTGGAACTTTTCATATTGAATGTTGTCTGATGACTGACGTCTATTCCTTTTTCATGAATCGATGTTACCTCTTGTAGAGCAAAAAATATTTTTTGCACATGCTTACAATACTTCTTGAAAGTATCGAACGATCAACTTGCAATAAGGTATTTTAAATATTCTCTTTTGTTTCCAACTTTTAATTTTCTACACCGATCGCGCAAAACATATGCGAATAAAAAATTGCATAGTATATACTTTTAACGAAAAAAACATGCATACGTACACCAGTTATATTTCCATGATTCTATAGTTCTTTGTTGCTTATAACTGTAGTTAGTAATAAATTGCACAGAACTTGTATTATGTATTACTCTTATGTCTTTAATTTTTTAAATATAAATTTTCAAAAATTTATATTATTCTTTTTTATATTCAAAATTTTAAAATAAACGTGTAATGTAGAAAACGTAAAGTTTAATAAATTAAGTTATTAAAATAACTGCTATAGTTAATAAAAATAAATAAATTATTTTTGTAGAAATTTTATTGGACATTTTTTATAGCAATATGATAAAATTAAAAGAAATTTTTCAAAAATATCCATGTTTCTGAGTGCGGAAGAAATTTCAACATGAAGCCAATAATGATTATACGGACTTTACAATTCTTTGACCGTTAAAGTAAATGAAAATCCAAGAAAAGTTTCTACATAAAGTGTAAAATAAAGCAATAAAAAAAAATGATAGCGACTTACTAGAATGAAGTGCATCCATGCCGACAAATCTGCAAAATCTGATTTGAAAATTATCATTATCTTAACGGTAAATAAAAAATGTTCCAACAATGTGACTATCATGACAAGCAATTTTTTTTGTTTTCATTATTATATTTGTTATTTTTTTTTTAATTTTATATAATTATTATCATTATGAATAAAAGTTTTATATAACATTCATGAATAAAAAATTTATATAATTATTATCAATATGAATAAAAGAGTTTAAAAAATGCATTTACATGTCATATTAATTGGTATTCGTTGTTTAATAGATTTCAATAATAAAATCTTTCTATATATGGTTCTCTATTTAAATATCTCAATATATGAAATATTTATCTAAAAGTAAATTTTTTAGGAGATACTTTATTTTTTATTAATATAAGATGTATAAAATATCTCATAAACCAGTTATTTTGTGATAACTATACCTTGCATTTTTTATGTAAAATGATGCATAAAATCGATTTATTTAAACAAACTTTTTTTTGTTAAATAAAAGTAAAAGTAATTTTAAAATCCAAATTACAGAAGTATTTTCATCTAGAACAAATGTTAATTACAAAAACTATAATGTTAATTACAAAATATTGTTTTAAAATAAGAAAATCTTATTTAAAACATTATTTTTATTAAATATATAAGTTTTTAAATATTTGTGTAATTATTGAATTAATCATAATATAAATTCATTATTAAAAATTAAATAGTTAACACGATTAACTTTACGTTTTAGGAGAAAGATAGATACTTATAGACTACGATTCAGATTACAGAATTTAATTTCAGATTTCATCCTGCATCATTTAATAAAATTCAATTATTTTCTATCGAATTTTACAGTGAAATCTAGAATTTATTTTATATTTGATTAATGCATAATTTTTACATTATTTTTTTAATAAATAATTAAAATGTCAAAATAAATAATATCAAAAAGAATTCAAATATATCTTACTTTTAATTTCTCGTTGTATGTAAGACGGATATATAGCCAACTGATGTTTTTACTAACTGAAAAACATTTTTAAAAACATAATTATATATAACATTTTTAAAAACATAATTATATCTAACATAGTACGACAAAAATTGATTTTTTTTGATCTCATAAAAAAATCAAAGAGATTCTGAAAGTAAAGGTAAAAAAAATATCCATGTCTGAGCATTTTATCAGATCAAGTTGTTAACGTTTTTTAAGTATCATCAAATGTCTTTTTATTTATATATAATACTGTACAGCACAAATTTCCTCCCACGAAAAATTCAAAGAGATTTTGAAAGTAGATGTTAGGAAAGCATACTCGTGTCTCGTTACTGACTTACTTTGACATTGTTGCGATCTAAACAAAGCGACGTAAACAAGCAATAATCACAATCCAGCTCATTCCCTGTTCTTCAGTTCGAATAACCGCGGATTTAGTTGATGAAATTTCAAACTGTACATTTAAAACGAAATTGAAAGTGAAAGAAATATTAAAATAAACAATAATGTAGTCCAAATCGAATAATTATTGTTATGTGTGTGGTTTATTTGCACCTCCAAGCTATATGCAAAATATAACAAAAAATATTGTGGTGGCATTTTCATGTGACGTATATACATATACTGAATATGTGGTATGTACCAGAAGTGTGCGATTATTGTTATCGTTGTTTGCTCGGATGGAAAAATAAATCCCATAAAATTAAATTTGTTGCACCGACAATTTGGTTACGACGTACCAAATACGCACCTAAATTATGCTATTTTTGCGCAATAAAATTGAAAACTTCTGATTTCCGATAATAATATTCGTGAAAAATTGATTACGCCAATGTAGAATCCATAATTCCGGCACAAGTACGTTCTGCAAAATATCCAACTGCGCCTTTAGACGACATATCAAAGGACAAACAATCAAAATCATCACCTTCTACTTCAAGTGGCATATTTTCTGAGCTCGAATTCGAATTTGTTGCAACATCAAATGAATTGGGCTATAAAATGCCGCATTTTGTGACGCAAGCGGACTTTAATAACATTGTTCGTGACGCCAATTTATCAAAAGGTGCAATAGAAATAGTCGCGTCTGAAGCAATGGAATTTAGTTGCTGATGATTTTAAAATAACGAGACTTCGTAAACGCGACATTACAATTAAATTCGACAAATATTTCTATTTACACGAAGCTTCTAAAAAGAACTTGGCCTATTGTAATGATGTTGATGCATTGTTCAGAGAGATCGGTTATCATGATCCACAGAAATGGCGATTTTTTATCGATTTGTCAGTGACTAGTTTGAAAGTAGTCTTATATATTGTATATTAGAAATAAATATCCATCCATTTCAATTGCTTACACTATAAATATGCTAGAAAGTTATGGAAATATGAACAACTAATCAATTACTATCAGCATGAATGGAGAATTTGTTGCGATCTGTGGGATTGCTGACTGGTTTGAAAAAAGGATATTTTATCAATGTTTTTTGTGCGTTTTTGGGAAGACCGTAAGACAGATCTATATTACATTAATTTCATATGAAATTCACGTACAAACTTCCAATTGGATCAGTTAAGTATCGATTCGAGCACTTGATCCTTCTGGCAAAGCTTTCCAGTTATTGCACTCAATATTTCCAAAATTGTCCGTAGTAAAAATCGAAACAGGTAAATTGATTTCAACATTGCTTTTATCGTTTAATTTATTTGATTATTTTAAATTCTTATTCAGTTAATGGTCTTATTCAAGTATGTATTTAATGTTCTAAATATATAAAAAAAATTGATAAAAAATAAAAACTTCCATAAATTGTTGAATACAGTAAAAAAGCGAGCATGGAATGGTTTGATAGCTGTGATTGAAAATTTTGGACAATAAAAAAGTTGACAATTACAAAAAAATTGTTGCTGAAATGATTTCGGCTTTTCATGCAATGAAAGTTAACATGTTGCTCAAAATACACTTGCTTTACAATCATTTGGATTTTTTGTTTCCACCAAATTTGGATAAATTCAGAATTTAGGTGAATTCAAATTTGAATGTCATGGTGAACGTTTTCACCAAGCATTACGATCATTGAGAAATGCTTCAAAGGAAAAGACATCAGACACATGCTTGGTGAATACTATTGGTTTATTCGTGATAAAAAACTAGAATCATACAAACAGCAAATCAAATGACCAAGATTTTTTATAAATTACTATTATAATTTATGTAAAAAGTATTTAATTTATAATGCATTAAATCCAGTGTTTGTTACATGTAGAAAATTAGTATTAATTTCTATATTTGTGAATTCAAATTAAATTATTAATAACTTTGTTTAATTTTTGGATCAGCTAAACAAAAGTTTTATGAACATTTTTAGAACTGACAATATAGATTGATTCTGCAATAGAATATAAGAAGTAAAAAAGTTATAATATAAGTGTCAAAATATATTCAATGTTCTATAATTAACAATTAACTTATATTTAATTACTAAATAAAGTGTAATAATTATCATCTAAAAATATTTTCGATACTTTCAAGTGCAATAAAATATATTATGCAGCATACAGTAATAAATGGTACATCATGAATTCTAAAGTAACACAAAACTTGTTGATTTTAATGATCAGAGGTTCTAAACCGGTTTATCTTACTGCTGGAAAGGTATTCCCTGTAACAATGGCAACGTTTTGTAGTGTAAGATATCAATGTTTGACAGTAATTGTTGTATTAAAATTTATTTGGCATATAATTTTATAATATGTTTTATACAACGACCCGGTAAAATATTTTATACATAATTATATAAAAATATATTAGGTGTTGGAATTAATTCGTAGCGTTTTACAAGTGATGGGAAGTACTTTCATTAATGTATTTTTTAATGCTCATGTGAAATAAATAACATTCTTTCATTAAAAAACGCTACGAATTAATTCCAACACCTAATATATTTTTATATAATTATGTATAAAATATTTTACCGGGTCGTTGTATAAAACATATTATAAAATTATATGCCAAATAAATTTTAATACAACAATTACTGTCAAACATTGATATCTTACACTACAAAACGTTGCCATTGTTACAGGGAATACCTTTCCAGCAGTAAGATAAACCGGTTTAGAACCTCTGATCATTAAAATCAACAAGTTTTGTGTTACTTTAGAATTCATGATGTACCATTTATTACTGTATGCTGCATAATATATTTTATTGCACTTGAAAGTATCGAAAATATTTTTAGATGATAATTATTACACTTTATTTAGTAATTAAATATAAGTTAATTGTTAATTATAGAACATTGAATATATTTTGACACTTATATTATAACTTTTTTACTTCTTATATTCTATTGCAGAATCAATCTATATTGTCAGTTCTAAAAATGTTCATAAAACTTTTGTTTAGCTGATCCAAAAATTAAACAAAGTTATTAATAATTTAATTTGAATTCACAAATATAGAAATTAATACTAATTTTCTACATGTAACAAACACTGGATTTAATGCATTATAAATTAAATACTTTTTACATAAATTATAATAGTAATTTATAAAGATAATTATGCTACATAAAATTAACATAACTTTTATAAGAAATAAGAGAAATAATCAACTAACCTGGGCAACCAAAATTTCACCAAGAGCGCAATATAGGCACATATGTGCAAATATATTGATTACGGTGGATGCAAAATATATCAAATGAGAGAATGATATATCATTTTCTTCGTCAAATAACTAATTAATAATTTATAGGATAAGACAAAAGACATGATTTTTTAAATATTAATTTGAAAAAGTAAGATATAATATAAATGTATACATTTTTAATTTCTCAATTATTTTCTCAAAGTTAAAAATTACATTTTATTTAAATTAGTTACATAAATTAAAAAATACTTACAGTAATTATCCGAAAACCATAAAAAGCGAAAAGAATCGCAAAATATACAAATAAAAAGAGAAGTATTACATTATATGTATCTTCAATAATGTCAATGACTCTATAAAAAATGATCCGTATATTAGATATATGTATATAGGTGAAGTACTGATTATGTATTTCATATGGATCAAACCTAAGTAAGCGTATGTGTCTTGTTATACAACTGTTTAGTATTTTGTGAGAATTTTTACATTTATCCAAATTTGTTAAACGGTTCTTCAGAATATCTAATTGACCACATATATGGAAAACCAACAGCCCGAGAAAATTATCGATTCCACTATAGGACATCATGGCAATAATGATATAAACAGATTGACTAATAAATGTCAGTTCGTACTGTGGACTTTTTGTTACATCGTAAATGTAATGAGTTTGTAGGGGCATTGGTCTGCCTGGGTCAGTAATGTTGGTGGTATCTCTCATTGATATTCCAAAGCTAGGTAGAACGATAAGATAAAAACATCCTATTCCCATTATGCAGTATGCGAATGTAATAATTATACGTGCACTCTGTGCTCTCCGAATCATTATATTTCTCTCTTCTGCATTTTTCAATTTTACCCAATCCTCCACGATCATGTTCATGATCGGTTCGATAGCTTAAAAAAATTTTAATATTAAAAATGTTTATCACTTAACAAATAATTGAATCGGAATAGAGACTATTATAAAAATTTAATCATAAATGATAAAAAATTTAAAAAGTAAAAAGGAATATTTTTTTTGTATTTACAACAAAAAAATAATTTTATAGAATGTGTAAGAAATAAAAATATATAGTCTAATGCACAATTGAAAAGCACAGACAATAGGAACAGGGAATAACAAATTTCAATTATTCAGAAACTGTATATTAAAATACATGATTTCTAACAGATTGTAATCCGTTTTCTATTTCCTCTTCCCATTGACTGTGTTTCTCATTACATCAGGCTGCATTATAGGCTTTAGATTTGTAAAATATGAAATTTTGATTGCATTATGTACTCACTCATATTATTTATATATATAAATATCTTATCTATACAATATATATACATATATATTTATATAATAAATATCTTATCTGTAAATATCTTATATATACAAACATATACGGATTTTTTTATGACTTTCCATTAACATTTTTATATATATAATAACTAATGGAATTAGATTTTCAAAAAATGTTGGTTACGTTTTATGAAATAATTTATGTGCAAATTTTAATTTTTAATAAGAAAAATGCATATAGGGTACTTATAATTTAAAAATTTTAGAATGTGCATTAATATAGTTCTCTTTGTATAAAAAAATATATATATATATGATATGATATGATATGTATAGTCTTATAACTATAGCCTTACTTGTTAAAAAGCTATTTTGTTTTTCAGCTATTTTAGAGACTTGTAAATATTAAATATTAATTATGACATAATATTTAAATTATATGTTGTTTACTGTATTTAATAATTTAGATAAATAGCAAAATTAGTATACCTTCCTTTTTCCACCAGAAAATTACGATTCTTATCGAGCAACTTATGGTTGGTAGAGTAAATTGTAAATTATCTAGCATTAATATAATATCTCCAAAAATTCTTATTAAGGAATGTATAGAAGGAATAAGAAGGCCCAATGTTACACCCAAAAATACGACAAGCACTCGAAAATTACTCATTAATTGCTGTCGAAAATTTTGTGCAGTCTTAGGCCAAAGTCCAATCAAATTTAAAGTGAAACGATTTAATTTTACCGCCCATTCGAAATCTACCTGCAGAAATCTTAATAAGTCCAAAATTTATTAAAAAGATCACCTGCATTATTTTTAAAACATACTTAAGTAAAGTCATAATTAAATATGTGAATATAATATTAATTATACTTAATTGAATGCAAAATACAATGTTTAGAAACACTTCACTTTTCAATAATCACAGATAATTATAATAATCACTTTTCAATAATCACGCAAGTTGAAAAAATAGTAAATAAGAATCACTCAAAATTTCAAATTAGATGTAATTAATATTTTAATAAAATAACTAGTATATAAATAGTATCATAAAATGCAATAATTTAAAGTTTTTTAAGGTTATCATTAGTTGCATAAATTGTAATGAAAATATTTCTACAACATTTCTTAATTACAGTCATTTATAATAATCAAGAAAATAAACACCTTCGTATCCATTATATTTTGAAGTTTCCATGTTGAATGTTATCTAGCGACTGACGTCTGCTCCTTTTTCATGAATCGACGTTACCTCCTATTCAAAGAAAAACTTTTCTCGCGCATGCTCTCTATAATAATTTTTGAGAAAGATGAACAAGGTATTAAGTATTAAACATTCTGTACCTTCGTATAAAGTTTCCATCACTTCAATATCGAATATCGCACAAAACATTTGTGAATAACAAATTTAATAACAGGGATGTCATGTTAGCAAAGAAAAGACGTATGTATATATCCATTGTTCTCTCACACTTCTATAATCGGCTATAGTTTATAACTATAGCTAGTAATAGGCTATATACATTAAAATATGTCTGTTGATAATAGTTGCTGTAGCAATCTGTGCTCATCACATATCTTCCTCTTTTGTTGTTTGTATAATAATAATTATATATATATATATAATCTTTTGTAACTGGATAATAAGTTGAATCATTAAATTAGTTTTGAAATATAATCATTATACCCAAAACTATTTACAAGAAAAATGAATGAAAAAGACTGTCAGAGAAATTAAGCATATTTTGTTTAACATAACTTTTATTTTAAATAAATAACTTTTGAAACATACTTAATATAAAATTAGTTAACTTATATCTAATGACATATTTAATTAATAAAGTATTAAAATAAAATATAAAATAAATAGTTAAAAAAAGACTGGCTTACAATTTAACAAATATCTGCTGGTAATGATTATTTCAATTCTCAAGTCATTTTTTATATTACTAACTCATTTTTACCATTACTTAATAGAATTCTAAGCACATTTTATTTGAATAATGCAGTAAGATATATTTATTTGTAAATGACATGTTAATATCGGCACATTTCTATCGTATTCTATCAAAAATTGCATAATATTAGCAAAAAGTTATCATTTTTCATACTTTGTATCACCTTCTTGTTGTATGCAAAACGGATATATAACCAACGGATGTTTTTACTAACTAAAAGATATATATTTTAAATAATAATAATATAAATTAACAATATATGATTAACAATATAAATAATATGATTATATAATATGATTAACAATATAAATTTAATAGTTAAATAATCATAAAGTTTGATGAAAGTTGTACTTGGTATATAAAATAAATAATTTAAATTTTATATAGGTATAGTAGATTTCAACTAAATGTTTATAACATTGAATAATATTTTAATATAATGAATATAATTAAATATTAAAATAGCTTACACTGCAAAATGTGGCCATTGTAACAGGAGACATTTTTCCAACAGTAAGACAAATCTGTTTAGAACCTCTTGTCATTAAGAGCAATAAATTTCCTGCAACTTTTGGATCAATGGTGTACCATTTATTACTATACGCCGCATAGTATACCTTGTTGCACTTAAAAATATTAAAAATACTTTTAAATATTAATTATTATATACACTTATATATAAATAAAAATCAGTCATTATTATATGTATGATAGTTTATAGTTAACATGCAAAATTGTACAACATTAATTTACGTAATTCTAAAATATAAAATAAAATATTTATGTAACTCATTACCTGAGCTACCTGAGCCACTAAAATTTCGCCAAGGACGCAATATAGGCACATGTGTGTAAATATATTGATAATAGAGGATATAAAATAGATTAAGTGAGTGATCGACATATCATTTCCCTCATCGAATAGCTAATTAAGTTATGAAAAAACATAAACGATACAACATAATTATTCCTATTACTAATAATATTTAATTTTGTAATAACATGTAAATTTAAATGTAATAATTTATTGATTATAATTATTAAAATGTGCGTAATTACTCAGCAGGATAATTTAGATGTAAACGTCTTTTTATTTAATTTTCAGTTTCAATAATACTTACGCTAATTATCCGAAATCCATAGAAAGCAAAAAGTATCGCAAAATATATAAATAAAGAGAGAAGTATTCCATTATACATATCTTCAATGATGTCAATAGCTCTGTGAAAGACATTTTATGTACCAAATATGTTCAATCACATATATTATCATAAACATACATATATGTTTTTTACAAGTAACAAACCTAAGCAAACGTATATGTCTTTCTATGCAGCGTTTCAGCATCTTGGAATAATTTTTGTATTTATCCAAATGTTGCATGCGATTCTCAAGAATATCTAATTGTCCGCATATATGAAAAACCACAAGACTGAGAAAATTGTCCACTCCAGTATAGGCCATCATACCGATAGCTACATAGACTGCCTGACTAATAAATGTTAATTCATGTTGCGGCCTTTTTGTTATATCATAAATATAATGAGATTGTAAAGGCATTGGTATCCTTCCTGGATCAGTAATATTAGGTGTCAGTCTCATTGTCACTCCAAAAATAGGCAGTATAGAAATAAAAAACCATTGTAATCCCATTATGCAATAGGAACAAATAATAATTATTCGTGCAGTTTGCGCTCTTCGTATCATTAAATTTCTCTCTTGATCATTTTTTATGTTTATCCAATCCTTCATGATCATGTTTATAATCGGTATAACAGCTTAAAAAGTAAATAACTTTATGCACGTTTTAGAGCATAATAAAGACATGTTAAAATTAATCCTAAACCATAAAAAATATATGAAATGCTGTTATATTTAAAAAATTTTTTAAAGTTTAAAGCATAATAATATTATAATTTAAAATCGGAAATATTAATTAATCTACGAAAAAGTATCATGGAAATTTAATAATATTATTTATATATATATATATTAGGTGTTGGAATTAATTCGTAGCGTTTTTTAATGATACTGAAAAAATTAATATAATAATATAATATATTCTTTTTTACTTATATGATATTTTTATTTACAAAAAATTAGCGATAAAAATATTATTTAAAACATTTTATTTTAAGTTTTATATATGTCTATTTTTAATTTATTTTTTCTAACACTTATAATAGCATAAGTAAAAATATTATAAATTTGTGAGATATAGAAAATACTTAATATACTCATAAATTTTTTAAAAAGCATACTAACACGATTATATATATAATAAATAAGATGTATTTATTTATGAGCTGAACCTGTGAATAAATATCTGTGAATAAATATGAAGGATATATAATAATTTAAATTCAACTTTTAATATTTTATTTGTATACTATTTACTATATACTATTTACCTTGTAGCTTAGAAACAAAAAATGATGGTTACCTTTTTTTTTCCACCAAAAAATTATGATTCTAATTGAGCAGCTCATTACTGGTAGTGTAATTTGTAAATTATCTAATATCAGCAAAATATCTCCAAAAACTATTATCAATGAATGTATTGAAGGAATAAAAAGGCAGAACATTATTCCCAAGAAAGCTATCAGCACTCGAAAATCGCACATTAACTTTTGCCGAGGATTTTGAACGTTCTTAGGCCAAAGTCCAAGGAAATCTAAAGTGAAACGGTTTAGTTTCACCGCCCATTCGAAATCTGCAGAAACCTTAATAAGTCCGAAGATTGTTAAGAAGATTATATAATTCAAAATATACTATAATACAACACCATAATTAAGCCAATTATACAAAAAGTTATTCAATAAAATACGCTTAAAATAATATATTGGGCAATTTTTGCTTAGAAATTTAATCATAAGTCTAAACATTATTCATAAGAAGAAACAAGCAACTAATAATTATGATTGAGCTTAAACGTGCTAATTAGTTAACATTACAACATATCATTTGATAACATAATACAGATATTAATAGTATTTTACATATATTAAGCTTAGTACAGATGTTAATAAAAAAACACGATACATTATAAAAAGCGATAATTTATAATTTCTGTTAATGATGATTTAATAAGACATAAATTATTACTATTACAAATACTTTCACTCTTTACACATATTGCAAGTAAAGCAAATACTTCCTAAAATTTTTATTTACAGCTCAACAATGATCAAGACTATAAGCACCTCAGTCATATTTCAAACTTTCCATGTCCAGTGTTATCTAAAGACTGACGTCTCTGTCTTTTTCATGAATCGATGTTACCTCCTAAACAGCAAAAAACATTTCTCATGCGCATGCTTTTATTTCTTCTTGAAATTATCGAATAATCGATTTGTAACAAGAAGTTTTAAATTTACTGTGTTAACGCTTGTTTTAAATTTTCATCAAATTTCCAAGAACTTCACGTGAGACATTTGCGAATAAAAAGTTGCAAGTTGATCATGCTGTTGAAAGAAGCGCCCGTACGTACTTTATATTCTCACGCGTCTGGAAAAGGTTATAAAATTGTAACTGTAGTTAAAAAGAATTCGTATTAAGTATCATAGTATCACTTATGGTGTTCATTTTTTAATAGAAAGAATATATTTGCAAATTGCATTTTATTTATTCGTTATATAATACGATGTTATCGAATGTCAAAGAATTTAATAAGTAATAACTATAAGTGTAACAAATTTTCCTATAATTAACACATTAATCCAAAATAATATTTAATTCATAAAATTTATGTTAAAACTCAATTGAAATATATAACTTCTATGAAAAGAAATGAATAGAAATATGTGGCATTATTGCCTTTAGTTGCACGTTTTTGTTTTGTGTATTTTATTAAAAAGTTAATGATTGCAAAATTGAAAGCAGTATTATAATAATTCTTATATCTTATAGGAAATCCTTTTTAAGTGGTATTTATGTTTCTAAAATTTGATTTTTAGCTCTTATTTAAGAAATATACTTCAAAAATAAAGTGATATAATGGTATTGATGATCTTTCTTACATTTTCATTGTCACTTCTAATACAAACGATACACAATAAAGTGATAGTTTTAAGCTGGAATATATACTTTATTTAGATATATAATAAAATATTTTTTGTTAACAAATATTTTTAATTAACAAACAGAAAAAAGTAAGTGAACTGCAAATACGGGATAATATGGTATTATATTGTAATTACTATGGCGTATCGCGTGGAGATTGAATTTATACGTTATGCGTGCGTGCACGCAATAAGTACATATGTGTGTGTATATCTCTCTCTCTCTCTCTCTCTTGTCCTCCCCTTCATATCTATTTATGCTATATTATCATATTAGATTAAGAGGGCATTGTAGTGATTTTGTTACCCATAGCGACAAGTATGAGAAGTGAGTAACTTTTTATTTCATGTAAAGCATAAAAGCAATATATATATATATTTAAGCCCGATAGCGGTCGCTTGAAGGGGAGGATTTTTCAAAATGTTGCAGATTTTAATTTTTTTACTGAAAGCATTAAGATTGAATGTTGTTGCAATCGATAGCAGCCACATCTATCTGAACACGTACAATTCTCTTACTCCATGTAAAATTGTACGTATTTGGATAGGTATGGGAAATCTTCATGATCATTCAAAAGGTATGGGAATTATATTTTTCGACAACTGAATCAAAATTAAGTAGTAGATAAAAATTCCTTGTTGTTATCAATGTTTTTCAGAAAAAATTTATCACTTTGACCCAGTGTAGCGATCCTTTGCATCTTTCTGAGGGATATGGGAGTCCGCCTGTCTTGGAATAAGGGTATTAACTCGATTACAACATTCAACATTGACGCTTTTAATAAAAAAATCGAAATCGAACCATATTTTGAAAAGCCCAACTCCTACTAAAAAATCTTGCAGTTATAGCGAAAATTGTCTAAATACAAAAAATAACTGAAATAGATAAATTTCTAACAAGTACTGCGATATTGGATATGTATTGCATCTAATTATATAGATGACAGAGATAGAATTTATATTTCTGGTATAAATTCTATGCGTACTATACATAATTTTCTGTTAGATACAAAAAACAACTATAATTCTAGCTGAAACAGCAAAATATATTTTGCCCTTTTAAGCGACCAGGCTTAAATATATATGTATTGTTTTTATGTTTTACATGAAATAAAAGTTTATCCACCTTTCATACTTGTCGCTATGGATAACAAAATCACTATAGCGGCCTCTTGGTCTATATAGGACTCCTGCAGACGAGCAACATTGTAGCGCCACAATAAAAAACGCTGACTTCATATGAAGCTACTTTGTGACGCTACAAGAAAGTGTCATCAATATGTTTATATGAGCGACATCATGGCGCTACAAGAAGCGATGTCGATCTGAACGCATCCGCGACATTTCTTGTCGCGCAATGATGTGATCCATATAAACATATTCGCGACATTTTTCTGTAGCGCCACAAAATAGCTGCGTATGAATGCGTCGACATCGTCGATTGTGACGCTATAAAATCACTCGTCTAAAAGAGCTCATACTGTAATATCAAATAGTTAATGTTTGATTGTTTGATTTGAAAATGGATTTTTTAAAATTGAAACATAGAATTAAATTTAATTCTAGAATGCTTCTTATTATCTAATATAATTTCTAACAAATTTTTCTCAAATCATATAGTAAACTTTGTAATTTATTTATAATAACATTTTACTATTTACACAATTTTTAGATTATTATATTTTTAAAAATAACATTTTTAAAAAAACATTTACATTTATTGTATTTTTCTAATAATTTCTTGTTGTATGCAAGATATATATCCAACTGATGTTTTTATTAACTGAAAAAAATTTTAGTAATAATTAATAATATGGATATATGTAATCACGAAATTTAAGACATACATAAAATGTATACATAAAATAGATACATAGATAAAATATACATGAATATAATAAATTAAAATATTTAAAAGTTTTTAAATTATTATAATGTAGACTTATTACATATATATACAAAATATTAAAATTATTTAAATGTCTTTTTTTACAATAATAATAATTAAACACAAAAATATCTTACACTGTAAAATGTCGTCATTATCATGGGAAACATTTTTCCAGCGGTGAGATAGATTGGTTTGGCACCTCTTATTATCAAAAACAACAAGTCTTGTGTAATGTTTGGATCCTCGGAATACCATATATCACTGTAGGCTAGTATAATATATTTCATTACACTAAAAAATATCGAATTATCGTTTTTAGATAAAAATTGTATCTATATATTATTTCTTAATAAATTCATTGATTATAAATCAATTTGTTGTTATTTAAAATGTAAATTAATACATTCATGTAAACAATAAATGTAATGTAATTTATGTATTAATTTTTATTTTTTCAAAAGTTTACATTAAATTTTTACAATATTTAATTTTTTAATATAAATTATTTTATCAATATATTTCTGATATTAATTTTCTCTATTTGCGTGTGAAAAATAATAATTATTGTTCATTAATATCTTTGTTAAAATAAAAGATATGTATTAATATATAGAGCATTATATATGCAACATATTTTTTATTTTATAAAAATAAGAAAAATATGACTTACTTGGGCTATTAAAAACTCGCCAAGAGCACAATATAAATACATATGTGTAAATAATTAAAAAATGTAGACATAAAAAAAACCAAATGTGTGAATCCATTTTTGTAATTTTTGTCCATTTTTGTAATTAAAATTCAGACATTTAATATTAAGATAAAATACCTTATAAATATAATAACAATAGTATTTTTTCTAATATATAATATAATTTATATATTATTAATAATATAATATTTAATTATTAATAATATAATTTATATATTATTTTTATTAGTAATTTTGTATATATATTTTTCTATTCAAAATTAATTAATAAATTTTTATTTTTAAGTATTTGCTAAAATATTAATATTACATTGATTATGCGGAAACCATAGAAAGCGAAAAGTATTGCAAAGTATAGAAATAATGAGAGAAGTCTTACATTATATGTATCTTTAATAATAGCAATGATTCTATAAAAGATATTTTATGTTATATTATTTTATTAGATATAAAACAAAAATAAATTGTATGAATTATTATTACCATATATATTTTATAAATTAATTATTATAGTAAATATTTTCGGAAAATATTGTACCTAAGTAAACGAATGTCACGTATACCACACATATTTTTAACATGTCGTGAAAATTGATATTATCCAAATTTACCAAATGATTTTTGAGAATGTCCAATTGGATCGATATATGGAAAATCAGCAGTCCAAAAAAAATGATTGATTCTAGTATATATTGTATAACTGCGAGACTATATAGATAGTTTGACTGATATACGTCACTTCGTACTGAGGTAATTTTGTTACATCATAAATATAATGCATTTGTAGTGGTACTTATAATATACATACACACATATATATATATATATATATGTGTATGAAAATACAGAATAGAAAAATTGATTAATGTAAGAAAATACAAATAATTACATTTTAAATGGAGATAAATTTTTTTATATCTCAAAACTATTTACAATAAAAGTGAATGAAAAAGACTGTCATAGAAACGAAGCATATTTTGTTTAACATAACTTTTATTTCACTAAATAAATAACTTTTGAAATATAATACTGAATATAAAATTAGTGTTATTGTAATTTATATCTAATAACATATTTAATTTACATATTATATAAAATAAATAGTTAAATATAAAAAAAAAGGTTTACGATTTAACAAGTATCTGCAGTTTATGATTATTTTAAATAATTAAATTTTCCGACATTATTTTTTATATTACTAACTCATTTTTATTATTATTTAATTCTTTTATCATTATAGAATTC